ATCCCTACGCCCCATATCCCCCTCGTGCCCCCTCCATGTCCTTCCATGTCCCCCCAAATCTCCATGTCCCCCGCATCTCCCCCTATGCTCCATGTCCCCCTCATGTTCCCCAATGTCCTTCCATATCCTCCATGTATCCCCATGTCCCCCCCTATGCCCCATGTCCCCACATTTACCCATGTCCCCCCATGTCCCTGTGTTCCTCCACGTCCCCCCATACCCGTCAATGTCTCTCCATGTCCCTGCTGACGTCTGGCACAGCCACAGTCCCTGGCACAGTTCGGGCGCCCCAAAATCGATGGGGAGCTGAAAGTCTCCAGGCCTGAGCGACGCTCCAAGGTGGACAGGTGGGACAGGGCGAGGGATATCATGGGGGCACCATGGGGACACCCACGGGGACACCACAGGAACCTGGGGACACCCACGGGGACACCTCAAGAACCTGGGGACACCCACGGGGACACCTCAAGAACCTGGGGACACCCATGGGGACACCACAAGAAGCTGGGGACACCCATGGGGACACCACAGGAACCTGAGGACGTCATGGGGACACCATAAGAACCTGGGGACACCATGGGGACACCGCAGGAGACAACCATGGGGACACGGGAGCACCACAGGAACCTGGGGACACCTATGGGGACACTGCAGAAACCTGGGGACACCATGGGTACACTACAGGGGACAACCATGGGGACACCACAAGAACATGGGGACACTGCAGGGGACACCCACGGGGACATGGGAACACCACAGGAACCTGGGGACACCATGGAGATACCCCAAGACACCCATGAGGACACTGCAGGGACACAAGGATGTGAATACAGGGACACCTTGAGGACACTTGTCATTGAGCAGAGGCCACTCCAGGGCAGTGGTGGGGACAGCCCGAGGTGCATGGTGGCCTTGGGAACGCAGTGCCACCCCTGTCTCTGTCCCCAGGTACGGCTTCCTCCTGGACAAGGCCCTGATCATCTGCAAGCGCCGGGGAGACTCCTACGAGGCCAAGGACGTGGTGGACCTGCAGAGCCACCAACTGCGGGATGGTGATCTCGGTCCCCGTGATGGCAAGAAGGTACCTGGGGACACGGGTGTCACCTTCCCAATGAACCCAGCTGTCCTGGTCCCTGGTGGTCCCAACCATCCAGATCTGGTGGACCCAAGTGTCTGGGACCTTGGTGAACCCATTGAAACCTGGTGGACCCATGTGTCTGGTTCCCAGTGGTCCCAGGTGCCCAGGTCTGGGGGACCCCAGCATCCTGGTCCTTGGTGGTCCCAGGTGTCCAGATCTGGTGGTCCCCAGCATCCTGGTCCTTGGTGGCTTGAAGCATCCTAGTTCCTGGTGGTCCCAAGCATCCAGATCTGTGGGTCCAAGTGTCCAGGTCCTTGGTGGATCCATTGAAACTTGGTGGACCCATGTGTCTGGTTCTCAGTGGCCCCAGGTGTCCAGGTCTGGTGAAACCAAGCATCCTGGCCCCTGGTGGTCCCAGCCATCCAGATCTGGTGGTCTCAAGCATCCAGGTCTGGTGGGTCCAAGCGTCCAGGTCCTTGGTGGCCCTGTTGAAACCTGGTGGCCCCATGTGTCTGGTTCCTAGTGGTCCCCAGCATCCTGGTCCCTGGTGGTCCCAAGCATCCAGGTCTGGTGGGCCCAAGTGTCCAGGTCCTTGCTGGCCCTGTTGAAACCTGGTGGCCCCATGTGTCTGGTTCCCAGTGGCCCCAGGTGTCCTCTTCCCAATGAACCCAACATTCTGGTCCCTGGTGGTCCCAAATGTCCAGGTCCTTGGTGGCCCTGTTGAAGCCTTGTGGACCCAAGTGTCTGGTTTCCAGTGGACCCAAGTGTCCAGATCTGGTGGACCCCATCATGCTGGTCCCTGGTGGACCCAACCATCCAGGTTTGGTGGTCCCAAGTATCCAGGTCCTTGGTGGTCACACTGAAGCCCGGTGACCCCAGGAACGCTGTCCCCAGAGGCTCCAGGCATCCAGGTGGCATTGAACACCAGTGTCTGGATGCCACTGAAGCCCACCCATACCCACAGTGGACCCACACCTTCCTGCTCATCGACATGGCCGGGCCGCAGAGCTACGAGCTCTTCTTCAAGACCCGGGAGCTGAAGAAGAAGTGGTTGGAGCAGTTCGAGATGGCCCTGTAGGTGCTCCTGAACCGTGGGGTGGGGAGATCTGCCCCACTGGGGGCTGAGGGGCCATGGCGGGGTGGATTTGTCCCCCCCAGACCCGGGTGACTCCATCTCTTTCCAGCTCCAACATCTTCCCCGAGCACGCCCTGGCCGATGGGCATGAATTCCAGATGTTCTCCTTCGAGGACACCACATGCTGCAGGGCCTGCCAGATGTTGCTGAGGTAAGACCCCTAAAATTATGTCCCCCACTACTCTGGGGGGACAATGGGGGACAGGGGGACCTGGAAGATGGAGCTGGGGAAAGGAGAAACCCTAGGAAGGTGATTGGAGTTGGGGTGAGGTCTTGATGGGTCAAGACATGGGTGAAATGAGGTCAAGGTCTGAGTTGGTAAAGGATTGGGTAGATTGAGCCTTGGGTAGGCCAAGGCCAACATGGGTCAAGTCTTGGGCGAGTTGAGGCCTCAGTGGGTCAAGGAGCTGATGGGTCAAACTCTGAGTGGCCCCAAGGCCAAGTTGGGTCAAGGATTGGATGGTGGTCAAAGTGGGTCAAGGATTGGATGGTGGTCAAAGTGGGTCAAGGGTTGGGTGGAGGTCAAGGGTTGGGTGGAGGTCAAGGGTTGGGTGGAGGTCAGGATTGGTCAAGGGTTGGGTGGAGGTCAAGGATTAGGTGGATGCCACAGTGGATCAAGGGCTGGGTGAAGGTCAAGGGTTGGGTGGAGGTCAAGGTGGGGCAAGGGTTGGGTGGAAGTCAAGGGCTGGGTGGAGGTCAAGGATTAGGTGGAGGCCACAGTGGGTCAAGGGTTGGGTGGAGGTCAGGGTTGGGTGGAGGTCAAGGTGGGGCAAGGGTTGGGTGGAGGTCAAGGGTTGGGTCAAGGGTTGGTTGGAGGCCAAGGGTTGGGTGGAGGCCAACGTTGGTCAAGGGCTGGGTGGAGGTCAAGGCTGGTCAAGGGTTGGGTGGAGTTCAGGATTGGGTGGAGGTCAAGATTTGGGTGGAGGCCAAGGTCAGCCAAGGGTTGGGTGGAGTTGGGTCAAGGGTTGGATGGAGGCCACAGTGGGTCAAGGGTTGGATGGAGGTCAAGTTGGGCCAAGGGTTGGGTGGAGGCCAAGGGTTGGGTGGAGGCCAACGTTGGTCAAGGACTGGGTGGAGGTCAAGGTCGGCCAAGGGTTGGGTGGAGGCCAAGGGTTGGGTGGAGGTCAAGGGTTGGGTGGAGGCCAAGGTCGGTTAAGGACTGGGTTGGCCAAGGCCCAGGTGGGTCTGGGATTGGGCCAGTCCTGGGTGGGGTGGGGTAGGGGTGTCAATGGGTGTCCCCTCGTGCTGACCATGACCCTGTGTCCCCC